GCTTACTAGTATGTAATATTCTAAATCCTACATTGTAATTTCAAGAATCTTCTCATTATTCCCACCTGAAGTTGATTACCTCTCAAGAAATCACTCTTTGTTCATCCATAGAAAGAAACTCCTCAGTCATTGAGGTTTTATCTAATTATGGTTCTCTTGGTGTTTCCAACTCATGGTTACTTCCTCCACTGTAGTAATGAAAACCTCAAAGTCAACCATGAGATCTGGAATTATTAGGGTAGGCAGTTAGAAAGATATGAGCTAGAAAGACAGTAGGGGTTTGGAGTATATATGAGACAGGAAAAACTGAAAATACACAATGGAAGTGGCAGACCACTATGTGAGGGGGAAAGTTTCTGAGCCCTTCAAGAAGTGGTCTAACTGATGGCAAACTATCTAAATAAAGGAGCTTTATAGCTAAAAGATTTACTTTTTTGAGACATGAAGTGGGGGTTACTTGCTTCTTGGCTAGGAGCATTCCAGCCTAGGGGTATAAATATTCTAAAACTCCCAAATATTGGGACACTATGTTTGGTCTCAGTCAGCTGCCCATGAAGGTCCTGTTTCTGAGGGTATTTCTTTCCTACATAGAAATCCACCAATGCTTTTGCTACCATTGGTTGTCTCTTGTTTGAATTTATTCCTATAAGCAAGACAAGACCTGGGGATGCAGAATACTGTATAGCCAGGATCCTCCATGAAAACTGCTGAATCAATTTCTTCCCAACTCATTGTTGACATTTTGACCTCTTCCCACAAATCACAACTGTTCTTAATGGCATCAACAGTTACTCTATTTTTTAAAATTGATTTCAAAGAAGAAAGGAGAAGGTGAGATAAAAACATCAATGATGAAAGATAATCTTTGATCAGATGCCTCTTGCACACTCCCACTGAGAATCGAGTCCACAACTTGGGCATGGGCCCTGACAGGGAATTGAACCATGACCTCTTGGTCCACAGGTCAATGCTCAACCAATAAACCACACCACCTGGCTACAGCAACTCTTTTTCAGAAGATTTTCAATTTACATGGCCCAGATGCATCAGAATTAACACTATCTGTGAGACCCAAAGCCTTGTGAATTATATTTCATTTTGTTTGTTTGTTTATCTTCATCTGAGGATTTTTTCCCCACTGCTTTTCAGAGAGTACAGGAGAGGGAAGGAGGGGGAAAGAGAGAGAGAGAATGAAAAACAGTGAGAACATCTAGCAATGTGACGGAGACAAATCAACTAGTGTATCCCTCACAAACCACAACAGGTGGAGAAAGTGAACCTTCAAACCAGGTACTTGCCCTTGAGTGGGAACCAAACCCACTACCCTTTGGTGGTGGGGCGGATGCTCTAACCACTGAGACAGTAAGGGTCATTACATAATACTAAAGGGATTGATCCAACAAGAGGATATAAACATAGTATATGCAACCAATATTGGAGCTCTAAAATATATTTTAAAACTTCTGGAGGGCTTTTTAAATAAATTTATTTTAAAAAA